CGTGCACCAAGGAGCAACAACAATCGTATGTTTATGGGCACCACACCCAGAAAATTTCAGCATCCCAGCTGCTTTGGTTGCAGGGTTACGTCAAATTTCACGTGTTCGCACGTGACACGTACGTGAAGCACGAAAGGAATATGGACACGCAAGAATAGTCTCACCAATGCATCCGCAGTAAAATCACTAAAACGAAAATATCCACATTGATTGCCTGGGCGGTATTGGTGTTTCTGATGCCAGCCACAAAATGCAAGATTTCAGGGCATTTTTACCCCAGCTTTTACGCTATAATTGTAGGTTTTTTCCCAGGGGTTCATTTTTTATTCACATCTTCTTTTATATGAGTTTCATGACATAAAACTACAGCGCAGCATTTACAAGAAGAGCGCATACGGCAGAGACATGCATGCACAAGGCAGAATCCGGAACAGCTTCGGCGAAGTATGTTTGAAGTGCTCCCACAGGTATGATAATTCCATTCATCATTTCTAAAAAATTTTCGATTTTTTTTTTCACACATTTGATATATTGGAAATAAAAATCTCCTTCGCCTTCCCCTTCCCCCCCCCCCCCCCCTCCCGTATTCAGTGGAGACATTTGGGAAACATTTCATGGCCAGCAAGTGCCAACAACAGTCATCCGCAAGCGGGTTAGTTTCCTCATTCAAGGGTTGCTTAGAGGCAAGCTGTATTTGGTTCCTCGGCATATGCCAGTACCAGTTTACCATCCGAAACAGCTGAACGAATTGTAGAGGGATTGGTTGCGCCATTTGTGAAATTGAACCCTCATTTTTTTGATCAGCAGTAATGCTACTTCTCACTGCGCCATTTTTGCCAAAATTGCTTTCACGAAAAAGAAAAATGCGAAAAATTTTGAATGAAAGGGCACTGTTAGAAACCTCGACAGTCAGAAATACCGTATGTTTTTGCCATATTTTCCCGTCGGCGCTGTCTGTCTGCACGGGAACATTGCCTCAGTTTTTTTCATTCAGTGTTTTGCTGCCGTTCTGTGTCCCAGGCAACACTGTTAGTTATTCGCTAAAACATACAAATGTTTTGCAAAAAGGAGAAAATTTTTTAATTATTTACATTCTTTGGGGTTTGCGAGACTACCCTTTTGACTCAGAGGTTATGCATTTCATGACGCCGACGCCGCCATTACCACTGCGCTTTCTTTATGCCCTTTCTGTCTGCAATTTTAATGTCATATTTCACCCTGTATCGTTAATTTCCGTTACGGAGATTTTTTTTGAAAGGGAATGTGGGCGCTTTTAGAAAAAAAGATTTTGACAACGGAAGAATGCTTGCTTATCAGAAGAGGACATTAAGACCTTAAAATTTGCATTTCTCAGTTATCGTTTCTTTGTCCATTTGTCCACCAATATACGGCACAATGAGTTGTAGGACGATTCGGCAGTTCGAAGGCAACAGCTACAAATGGAACGCCGTGGAATGCAGGAACGTCAAGAGCAGCTTTTTAGACAGGTCATTTTTATTATTAAAAATTCAGTTCTTATATATCGATTGAGAAAGCAACGGATTACTCAGTAGCAGTGGTTGTCTTGTAAAGAAATAAAATATTCTTCAAATATATTGGCATGGATGGTATCGATGGACAATACTTGAATATTTTAGTCATCTGTTGTTTCATCGTCACGTTTCTTTTCGGCACTGATGCAGCTGGCAACTTCTCCATTCTTCTTTATTTGAACCTTTGTCAAACCCAAAACATGTAACCGTTCAAGTACTGTCTTAGTGCATAAGGAATTTGACTGCACAGAATTTGGAAAAATACACTTACTTGAATACTTAAGCATCTGTATGCCTTCGACGTTCGTTTTCGCGCCATCGATGCAACTGACAATTTCTCCAACTGATAAGGTGGTAATGGGAATACAAAGTGAAAAAATATAAGTATATCAAAATTAGACCTTATTGATGTCTTTTTACAACATGTGTTACGAAGACGAAATTACGACGGTAGTTCGGACTTTGGTACGACAATGTTCAGATGATACTTACATGGGTGACGGTGTTGTTGACTGTGCTTAGTGGAGGCGCTGGGATAACCAAAACGAACTTTTTCGACACAAAAAAAATCATGTTTAAACTTGGGTCGGCTGGGCTAAGGAGGACAAACTGCAGAGGCGCCGATGCCGACGGAGAATAGTTAACGACAAACACCGCAGCGCCTAAAACGGAATAGTCACTGAATTTTTTCAGCAAAATCGCAAACTTATGTACTTATCACAAAGGACGGGATAGATCACAGGGATCGGGAAATTAGTCTGCGATGCGATTCTGGATTGCTGTTTGCTTCTCCTGCGCGCCATCTTTTGCTCTCTTTGCACATGAAAGGAGATACAGAATTACTGTCTGGAGAAACACTACAGGGACATACGAGGTTTACTTGTATGAATTTAAAAACCAGCCTAGATAGTAAGATTCTGCATGGATACGTTCGTTTGTTATGAATTGGGGGCAAGCAAATTTTGGAATATAAGTGATGATGGTGCTGAGATGCGGATCAAATCCCATAACCAAAAAAAAAGGCATTTTTAGGGCTGGGTTGAGCCTCACTGGCAAACTACTCAACAAGCACCAATTTCAACCGTTCTGCAGCAACCCGAATTACCTGCGGTTCGTAATAAGCATGCTTTGTTGCTACTGCTAACGCTGCTTTGAAGCAAGGCAAAAATCTTTAAACACAGTACTTTTTAATCGCCGGAGATATGCAGCTCAGGATTGCCGGGATGGGACATATCAGTAATATCACTAATATAGGACACTCAGACTAATTACTTGGTGATTCTTGGCTTTCCTGGAAGGAAGATTTTTTTTACAGCTGATATGGATTTAGAATTCACAAACTGGGTGGGGTGGCTTTTTTTTCGAAATATCCAATTCTACTATAGAACATCAAATTTGGATTTACCAGCAAAGGCCTATTTAATCAAACCAATTTTGTTATGTGTTTTTTTTTAATTTTTTTCTTCGGATATCATGGAGCTCACCTTCTTCATCGATAAATGTGAATATGATGTGCCTGATATATGTGTTTGTAAAATGCATGTATTAATTGCTCATTATACAAGAAATGTATCATCCAAAAAGATGGCGTACATGGAACGGGCGATGGTACTAACCGCAGTTCAGGATCGAAGGGCCTGACATAGCTGCGCCCAGCGTCCCAGTAACATCACTAACATAGGATACCCACATCGACTGTCCGAGCGATCTTGGTACCTCTAGTAAAATGTTGCATATTGTTGAGTTTTTTGGAAACATGCAAACTTCAAGAACAGAATCAGAGAGCTTTGAAACACTCGACATTCAAATATTCCCATCGGAAAGAGTTTAAAAAAAAGAACTACTAGTTTTGATTGTGTTGTATCATTTAACAATATGTGTGTTGTAACATACGCTTCATGCTTGTGCTCTAACACTTTTCGGCTTTGCTAGTGATAATGCTAAGCAATTTTATTACTATCATTGTTATTATTATTTTTGCCACTGTTATTATAATCATAATTATCAATGTTATTATTATTTTTGCTATTATTATCATTATGATTATCATAACTGCTGCCACCACTAAACATGTCGTCTTTATCTTTACTGTAGTTACTATTATTAAAATTACGACCACTGTTATTGGAGGACGTATTTTAATATTACTGTTTCGCTATTGTTTCTGTATAAAAATTTTCTTTCATATTCGTTTGTGAGTGGAGAATCAAGAATATGAAATAATTTTTCAATAATTTGTGCTTTTCTCACAATTTTTTTAACTCTTTCACTTCATCACGTTGTGTAAGCGTTCATGACTAGCAATATTCGTAACTTATTTATTAGAATCATATCAATAGTATGAACAATACTCAAAATACGCAAAAATTTTGACTCAAAGAACTTGCATGAAAGTAATAATTATTATATTTGAGTGCTTGAAATGGCTGCTAGCTTGCCACTGATTTATTGCCAGAACATTCTTCTGCACCAAAAACTATATTAAATATAATGGTTATATTAATTCTTTTGAAAATTACGAAAATCTTTCGCTACTTTCACCTTCTTAGCCCTTTTTTTGCCTTCAGCGCTCTGCTCCTTGCTTGTGTGCTCGTACAGCTATCAGGTGACGTTAAGTCTAAACAAACTCGAATTCCAGGTGTCCGGTTACAGCGATTATTACATGTCGGGCCAAACAATTGGTAGCGGCCTTGGCAGTTCTGCCTATTATGCCCACAATGTATGTTTCAACGGATTAGTTATTTCTGCTGGAGGTGGTCAGTTTAAACATGACAGACATGACATAAGGATAAACTCAGTAATAAAATTCCACACATGTGAACCTCGAGGATGTTGTTTATTGGTCTTAAAAGAGTGGATTCTACCTAAAAGATTTATTAGTTCAGCCCAACAACAATTTCCCACACATTTGGACCGTGAGAATATACTGAGCACCTTATATGTTTTGTACGGAACTTGTTAGTGTTTACTGTATATTGATCCTGAAAAAGTAACCTGGATTCTGCCTAAAGGAGATATTAATTCATAGTCTGGTTCTCCAACTGTGCAGCTGAAAACTTTCCAGTCGCTATGACCAATGCTGCATCGTCCAGCGGTCAACCGGATTGTGAATCTGACCTTCGTTTTGCTTTCTGAAGGGACTACCAGCTCAGCTTTTCCAGAGGCTTAATTTATTATTCATGACTACAAAAAAGGGAATTTGATAAAGAATTACGGGAATATTGATGTGATGGTAACAAAACGGTTAAAAAATGGTATTGCAGAGACATATTTCGAACGACTCGGCTGTTGATAACACAATGGAAATTGATTACGTCACTGCAAGTACTGTTGGTATGGTTCCGCTGCAAACTTCGCACGAAATTGACCCAAATCTTGTCAGAGTAAGTAACCAAGAATCGTTCATTTGAAAACTGCCTTCCAAGACAGAGTTTGTTTCGCGCGCTCCCACTGGCGGAGTCTTGAAGAGGTTCTTCTCTTCATCCCCTCGAACTTTGGGGACGAAGAGAAGAACCTCTACAAGTTTGCTAAACTCCTGTTTCCTTCCCCACTGGCACATTATTTTTTCACAGCGTTTCAAAGCGTGGCCCAGGTGGGCAAACGATCAATTCGCGGAGGATCATGAAGTTCGCAGCAAAAGCGCTACTTTCCACTGCATCATATGATCCCCTTTATGTTCCTAATTTCAGGATTTGAATGCACAGGATTTGAATCCACGTGATTTTGATCAATATCTCCAGCTAAACGATAACCGCTCGTCTGCAGCTGCTGCTAAACCATACATGTAAGGAGAAAACGTTGAATGGAAAAAGCAAAAAATTATTCGAGAAGAAGCCTCGCGCCTCTGCCCATCACAATATTCTCACCAGTAATTCGCTTCGAATGCTAAGGATTTTGCCCTCAAATCAACAAGCAGTATCAACGATCAACATTTGCTACGAAATCAACAAAAGCAAGTGTGCCAGCCAATATTCGATACACGAGCGAACGATAAAAGTTCCCCTAAATGCGACTGCTTTTTGCCGCCCTCTGTGCGTGCATTTCTCTTCTGTCCTCTTCCATCTTTTCGGCTGTCCATTCTTTCAGTCTGTCCACATCTTTCAGCCCCTCCGTACGTTTCTTCATTTCTTCTTGCTGCCATTTTTTGCCGATGATAACTCTCTTTTTTTGTTTGATTTTTTTTTTTTTTTGAAAATTCAGTTTGCCATGTTTCTACGCTTTTTTTTTGAAACAAAAAAATGCCATTTAACGAAATAATGTGTATTGGTGCGTTATATGAATTTTTATCTGAATTAGTATCAGTTCTGCTTATATTCTCAGGGTATGTTCCTTCAGCGGTGCTACTGGCAACTTTCCCATTTCTTCTGTCCATTGCCGCACTGTGTGCTGGGTGGTCAGCTTACTGGCGATCCTGATGTTCATTTCATCTCATGAAGGGCAGTTTTTGCGGCGGAAGCACTTAGCAAAGCCTTAGCTTTTCGAATTCTTCTTTGTGTGTGCTAAGTATTACCACGTCTCCTACATTACCACTCCTAAATCACAATAAGTTATCTTGCTAAGCAGGAGCTTCAAGGAATATCAAACCATAAACATCAATGGAAGCCATGAAAAATGGTAACTGTGACAGAAAAAGATTCTGCGTGAAAAAAAAACGCTCCAAATTTGAGGAATTTGTCTTATGAATGTGAGAAAAGTATGAAACGCGTCACGTAGAATTCATGAGCTGGCAAAACCGGAATCCTGAAGGACAGAATACGTTGTTCTGACAATCCGAAGAATCAGTGAAGTAATAGTGCTCGTGTGTTTGTGGATTTGCCAGATGGTCCAGGGACAAGCTTCCTAGGGTGAAGGGCTACTTGATTGACGTAGAGGTTGTCCAGAACAAAGATTTTGCCCAGCATATTAGCGTTTGGCCAAGGTAGCACCACACTACCCGGCATTTCTACGGTCTGTTTTTTGGGATCTTTTGGTGCCTGAAACAAGCTGCCCATTGCCCAACCACACATCATAGACTCTTCCCCTCTCATCTTTCGTTTTTGCCTTCGCTCCAGACCGGCTAAGACTGATACTAGGTCGGATGATGCATATAATTAAACATTGTATCTATGCATGCTTTCCTGGAATAGCTATTCCAGAATCTGCACTTTTTTATATTTGAAAGAATCCGATCTTAATGAATACATTTCTCATTTATACGAAATCTTAGATATTTTCCGTTAGAAAGCGTTATGGTTGGTGTTCCTCCGTATTCTTCTATGAAAGGCGAAGACACTCAAAAATATTCCAAAGACACTAAATGTTAAAATCAACCTTCAGCTGGCAAGACTGTCGATGACTCCCTCCTCGAGTGGTATTTGGAAGCAATATGGTGTTGATCGCTGATGATACTCCAGTTTAAACTTGAACAGTGCCATCGTATAAATGGGGACTGTGTTCATTTACGTTTTGTTCTAATTACACGTATTTCACGTTTGTTGCGTGTTTGTGCACGCGTACGCTTGTATGTATGTATATGAATGTGTACACGTGTATGTATCTAAATATGAGGTTTTCTTGGTTAGAGCAATTCCATGATGCTTTTACACCGTTTCCTTTAGACTGATTCAGCTGACTAGTAGCCTGAACTTATTCTTTAATCAGTTGCAATTCTTAGTCTTTTTTGTTCAGCTTTATAGTTGGCAACTTTTCTATTTGCTTTGACCAGTGATGCAACACCTAGTGGTCAGCCTGCTGGAGATTCTAACGTTTGTTTGGAAAAAAAACAAGCGTAGGATCCAAGATAGATGCAGAGCTGCGGTTTTGGATCCATTTGAGCTAGGCATATTTCTTTGATCCGCAGTCCTTCCTTCCGTACTTCACCCCTCATTCTGCACTGCTGTTTCAGCTGCATGCATTTTCATTTCATTTACCTTTTTATGCGTTTCTACATTTCTTGCGAATGCAAAAACAAATGTTATCGAGAGCCTGTGTGTATGTGTATATATATTCGGAAAAGAGGATGAACATTGTCACCCATTTTTAACTCAGCGACGGAGAAAGCTGGTAGGCTCAAATTTTGGAGCCATATTCTTGCCTTCCATTTAAAATTTTCGCTCATGCATGCCATCTAGATCTCATGTACGGATGCTTTAGAGAAATTTGTAAGTTTTTCGAGGCCCGATAAACTTGGGTAGCTGGCTCCTTGCAAGGATATTCTTAGTCTAAGCATAAGCTAAACATTTCAAATTTTATTGCGCACGCTCGCATTGTGCGTACGATCACGTCAAAGTTCGTAAGTTGGCACTGAGTAAACTCGAAAACCCAGGCTGGGACGCAACAGGCTTGCCGATGTGATCATGCGCTTTGTTTGCATTAAACTTGAAGCAGTCAGGTCGCCTGCTGTATGAGTAGTAGTTGTTTTACATTTAGTTTGAACACTCGCGTAAATCATGAAAATTTGAATAAAAGAAAATGAATAACCCTCGTTGAACGGTCGTTTTTTGAAGGTGACCTAACTGTTCAATGAGTAATTTCCCCGCCGAAATTTTTAGGCGCCCGTACGTGAAAACCGTGCACACCGGAGGATTGAATTTGAAATCTTAAGTTGTACGTAGACGGGAAACATTCTCTTAGAATTTTAGCATATCAGCTTTTCTGGTTGCTGATTTAACTTTCCCGTCGAAATTCTTATTGCCCGCACATGAGTGCTACACACATCTAAGGTCTAAATCTGAAATCATTGAGTTTGGGCGGAGAAAATTCCCTCAAAATTTCTGCCTTCCAGCTTTTCTGGTTTCCAATTAGCAATTTTTTCGCAAAAATCTTTACGTACTCGTAAAGAAGGTTCGAAATGCATGAAGGTTGGTGCCGCGTTTCTCTGGTGGCGCCTGACTAGGATATATTACCAGAATTCAGCGGTCAAGCTTGCTTGGTTGACGAGTTGAAATACCGAAAAAACAGACAGACAAACACACGCACACACATACCACGAGTCATCACAGTATAAGTTTCTGCATTTACGTACATGCAAAAACGCATAACTAGCCAAGAAACAATAGTTGTAATTTTGCCAGAATATTTGTC